ATCAGTAATTAAAGGTGAAGTCAGTGCATTCAGCAGGAGTGGGGGAAACGTGGAAGAATTGGAGGGGGAAAGGAAGGGGTAGAAATGATATACAGTACTCATGTATGAAGTTCTCAAAAAAAATTAAAAATTAAATTTAAAAAATGAACATATTAAGTTTATAAGACCCCCCCCCAATGCTTTTACAAAATACGGTTCAAATAAAGCTTCATTCTGAGTATCAGTTATCTAGAAGTTCCTTAAAAGAGCTTAGAGTTTCATTTACCTGTGTTCTGCAGGTACAGGAGGTGGCCAAACTGCAGGATCTCGAAATGGTTCATCTTGATAAGATACGGGGAAATCAGGGGGCTTGTCAACTTTAAAGCTTTCTAAAGTGCTGACAATACTTTTAACTTGTTCATATTCTTCCAACAATTCCTGCCGTACCTTAAAAAGACAGCCATTATGCTAAAAGCTATTTAAAGTTCATACAAACTGTAAATAAATTACTACAGAATGCAAGTTTTCTTAATGTCATTCAAAGTATCCAAAAATGAGTGATGAAACATTTAAAAACAGGAACTATCATAGTAATATACAGAGAAAAAGAGTGATTTGAGAGAAGATGTAATTTTCATAAAGGAAAAAGTTATATACTTTCATAACTGACTTCTTTCTATGAGATAATGTGGAGATCATTAATATTTAAAGCAAGCACTCAAATCAGTAACAAGTTATTTCATCCCAGAAATCTATATTATGCTAAATTCTTTTCAAATACTCACAGATTAAAATAAAATCAGCCAAAATTTTCACCAGCATTTCCTGTTCTATCAGTAAACATGAACAGCTTGTCCTAAGCGTCTGGAAGCCCACAGGCCGAAGTATGAAGAACCCCACACTTCCTATGTTTATTTGCATTCTCCCCTACCTCAACCTGTCTCATTTGGCCTTAAATTCATTCAAGTTCTAGATAAGGTTTATCTTGAGTTTAAGTCAAGATTTTTCCTGCATTTGAAAACGTAACTGAGCACCTACTATGTAGAAATTACTGTGTTTTCAAACTCTGTGTCCATGATAATTCTCAAAAACAAACAAGACTAAAAATTATATTTATAAACTCATTTTCATAATCATAACTTTTTAACCAGAAAGCACACTTGGTCAAAGCATAGCAGAAGAAAATGTCCTTCATCTTTACCTTGAACAATATATTGAAAATATCATATGAAGAAGTTACAAAACCAAAGGAAAACCTTGGTGACACCAAACTGCTAATACGTGTAGCTCTGTAATACACTGTTCGGGGAGAAATAAACTTTCTGAACCCACTGAAAAGAAACACAATGGAACAGAGACAGTCCCTATTTAAAAAACACAAACACCCTGCCTATGAGCAGTGTAAAAAATAGGGAACTAAAAATTTCAGCCTGATGAGTTAGAGCAAATATGGTGTTCTTACTCAATGTAATTTGATAAATCTTAAATTGGAAAATAAGCCAAATTTACCCTCAAAAGTTAGTAAAACATCAATTTTTGACTAGTGGGAGAATTAGGAGGAACATTTGAAAGGCATTAGCACATAAAATGGAAACTTCAAAAGAGATGTTTGACTTTGTACTTTTAATTTTAAAAGGGTTTTAAGTTATAACAATAATTGGGGAAATTAAAATTCAAGTTTTTATTAACTGTACTATTATACAATCAAGTTGTATAGTCAAAAGACAGAAAATATATTAATGTCTTTTATTAAATTACTGATACATTTGTATTTGTAAGGAGACTTTCAAGGAAAAGCTTTGTGAAAGAGGTCAAAACAACACATAAAAATGAAAGGAGAAATGGCCAGAAGGAACACCTTCTTTCAAAAATTTGTTGACAAATACTATTGAGTAATTGATCATGAAATTTTTTAATTAAGAAAAAGATTTAATTAAAATTGAATATCTTCAAAGCATACCTCATAAAACACATGGTCAAAATACATAAAATATTAACTAGGTTACACATCAGAATATCCCAAGTTATGTTTGAAATATATTTCAGTATTTAGAGAATAAGAACAATTTACAAGTGCCAGGCGTGGTGGCACATGCCTTTAATCCCAGCACTGGACGGCAGAGGCAGGCGGATCTCTGTGAGCTCAAAGCCAGTCTAGTTGACACAGAGAGTTCCAGGCCAGCTGGGGCTACAGGGAGACCCTGTCTCAATTAAAAAAAAAATACAAAATCTTCAACTAATTTTCCAACTCTAATTATACCAGTCTATAGCCACTGTCACTCCTCCACTCCTTGAAAGTAGTGACCTTACCTGATACCATTTTCCTTTGACAGCTGGGTCTCTTACTGACTGACAATGCCTCTGGATCTGCTGTATCACTCCCTGGTAATACACCATTGATGAGTCATAATTTCCAAGGAGTGCATATTCTCTCCCTTTCTTTGCATTGTCACAAATCTCAGCCAAATTCATCTTCTTTCAGACACCTAAACAATAAAACATAATGACTTTTTACAAGTTCTTAGCACTGACTTTAAAACGATTATCATTCTTTGTAATATGCTTAAAACTGCTTTGAAAATCAAAATAGCTGTCTTTCATTTCTTAACGTTATCTGAAATCATCTTGTAGTAATTCTGAACAAAATCTCCAATTTTGGAAATACAAAGGTGATCACAAAAGAACACCCAAGGACACAGGAGGGAGAGAGTTACACAGCTTGTGACTAGCCATTCATCTGTATGTGGACACCAGTATTTCTTGCTCATCTATAATTCCCACATACTGCAATAATAACAAGCTATACTTGGAAGGTTTTCTTTTATTAAGCTTCTTCCTTACAACATAAAAAATAAATACATGAACATCGTATTTGAATATTTTATGTTTTAACTGAGATTTTTGGCCCCAAGAGTAAAATGTCATGCTTCAGGACATATTCTGAACAGTACTCCATAGTTGTCCATGCATCTAAATGCTTTAATTGCACCATACAGCAAATCTAAGCAAAAACATGTGAACTAAATTATGAGAGATTTCTGCACTTCAACTTGTAATCACCTACAACCTTGTTCTCTACAGCTTTTGGGCTATACAAATAATGTTAATCTCTCTTTTTAAATTTTTCTTTAACATTTTGTTTTGTGTGAGGAGAAGTACAGGGTGTAGGTCAGAAAACTTTCATGAGTATGCTCTCTCTTTCCACCATGTGGGTTCCAGGATCAAACGGGATCATCAGGCTTGGTGGAAGTGACCTTATCCAATGAGCAATCTCACCAGCCCATTAATCTTTCTTTTCTATAAGATGCTAGAAATGACATTTGAGCCTCTGGTTTCTACCACATTCCTTCAGCCCAGTAATTCTGGCTTTTCTTTAGACTTTCCAAAAGTCTCCTAGAATCATCAAAGGCTTCTAGGCAAAGATACCTTCCTCCCAGGATTATGAGCATTGGAACTCCCAAAATACAGATGCTATCCTAGGAAGGAATCCAAATTGCCCTACTTTTATTTCCTGGAACAGCAAATTAAAATGTCTTAGAAAATAAAAATATATCTCTATGCTTTTCTGAGGAATTAAGTTTTGGTTTGGGTAGCATGGCTCTTCCAACTACAATTATCTCATATATCCTAAGAGCTCAAAAATTCTTCCTTAAAATTAAGCATAACTAATTCTAAGCAGTTCAATTCACCCCAATACATTCTTTTAGTAAATTCGTTTATTTATATTTTATGAGTGTTTATCCTGAATGGATATAAGTGCACTATGTATGTGCAATGCCCATGGAGGCTAGAAGAGGGCATCTGATTCCCTGAAACTGGAGTTACAGACAGTTATTAGCTGCCATGTGGGTATTGGTAACCCAACCCAGGTCCTCTACAAGAGCAACAAGCCCTCTTAACTGCTGAGCCACCTCTCCAGCCCCTCCAATACACTCTTGAAGATGGTATTGTGTTTGGGTTCTAATATCATTTTCCTATTATTCAAGATAAGTTCTTTGAAGGCAGTATTATGTTACTTGAGGATAGTATACTACTTTTTACACAGTAAAAAATTATAATGTTCCAGTAGATCTATCTACAGAATACAGGAAAATCACAGAAACCCTCTCCACTAAATTGAGAACATTAACATAAAATAATGCATGATGGTGACTTTTGATTGCCAATTTGAATGGATTAAGAAGTGTCTAGGCTGGACTAGGGAGAGGGCTCGGGGAATAATGTACTTACTCAGCAAGCAAGGACAGGAGTTTAGATCCCCGGCTCTCAGGTAAATGCCAGCTGAGTGTGGTGCCTGCTAGTAATCCCAGTGCTTGGGAGGTGGGGACAGAGAATCCAGAGCAGGGTGGTCAGCTGACTAGCTGAATTGGCCAGCTCTGAGTTAAAGTGGGAGACCCTGCCTCAGTATATACAGTGGAGAGCAGTTGAGGAAAACCTCTAAATCTCTACCTGTGACATGAATGTTCACACACATGCCTGTGTACCCACACACATTTGCACACACAAACGTGTATACACACATGCATGTACACCATGGACATACGGAAAAAGTTAAAAATTACTTTTAAAAAAAGTGTATACAAGATCAGTAAATCACAGCTCTGAGCCTATCTGAGAGGGTATTTCCCAAGGGATTAGCTATTGGGGAAATGGCTTGCCCTGAAAGTGAGTGGTGGCATCTCACAGGCTGAGGACCCAGATAGAAGAATGTGGATTCAGTCATTCTCTCTCTCTCTCCCTCCCCCCCCCTCTCTCTCTCTCTCTGCTTCCTAGGTGCCACAGTGAACAGCTCTGTGCCATCATGCTCTCCTGCCATGACATTCTACCTCACCAAGGTCCCAAACATGGAACCAGCCTACCATTGACTGAAAATATGTGTTACAATAAACCCTTCTTCCTTTGGCTTTATCTCCTATATTTGCCACAACAACAAAAAGTCTTAATACTTTACTATCGTGGCTAACCTGCAATTAACAATCATATAGAAACAGCACTAGTCCATAAAGTCACTGTAGGTCAAAATTACTTAGCATTAATTCTGCTAATACATGCAGGTTACCCAGTTACATAGAAAAAATAATTTGATGTAACAAGAGGATTAGCATTCTTCTTCTGTAAAGGACCAGACAGTAAATATTTAAGTTTTAAAGACTAACAAACAAAATGGAAAAAAAACTGTGTTAAGTACTTATGCAAAACATATTTTTTTACTGATGAAATTCAAAATTATAATAGTAATAACTTTCTGAGGAACAGGTCTCTCATTATTTGGTTTAGCATTCAGGGTTAGTATTCTCTACCATCAGTCACAAATATTCATGTTATTAGTGCTTGTTTTTAATAAGATTTTATGTATTTTACCTGCGTTAACCAGCTAGGTACTGCCACTTACTGACAACAAACCACAACTACGTGATTTCCATTCAGCATGTTTATTGTTGGGAAGGTAATTGAAAATGTATTCTCTCATTAGTATTTGCCTTTGCATAACATTGCATTGCAGATTAATTAATCAAGTCCAATTAAAGGTTTGGCTGAAGCACTTCAACTACATAAATTGATTTTTTAAATATTAATTATAATTATTTTTAAATGTATGTATGAGTGATTTGCCTGCATGTATGTGAGTGCACCGTGTCATGCAATGCTTTGGAGGTCAGAAGAGGGCATTAGATTCCCCTGAAACTGGAGTTAAGGATGGTCCTCTGCAAGAGCAGTCAGTGCTCTGAACTGCTGAACCATCTCCCTAAATTGATTTTTTATGTGGAACTAGTGTTTCAACTTCTTGAAACATAAAAACATTGTATGTATAGTTGCTCCCCCCCCCGACAGTATTCATTAAAGCTAGCTCTTCAATAACTTCAAGCTCAGCATTGACTTCTTAAATAAACAACAACTGAGCAGTATTGCAAACATCTGCCAACTCATCAAGAGCCAAGGAAAACCACTCAAAATCATTTACTTTGTTTTTTAATTGATTAATGATGTCCTCAACTCTATGAGAAACCATTCATACCAAAAGGCTAATAATTTTAAACAAGTTTATTTTTGCCAGACACAATTCTATGCCTGCTGCAATCCAACATGATTTTAGTTACTCCCCATTGGTCGATGACTCTTGCTCGGCTAACAAATGAGCTGTTTGGAAGTTTACTTTGGGTGCTGCCTCATTTTCATTTTTCAGTTTTGTTAAGAAATTCTTCTGGAATAAGGCATTCCTTTTTAAGTTTGCTTATTTTTCTAACCATTAGTTTTCTATGTGAGTTGAGAACTTAGTCTGGTAATGTCAGTGTCTATTGACTGTTACTCTTCAGCACAGCTTTAGTATCACTGTATAAAAAGCACAACTTCCTCATCTGATTCAATAACCCACACTCCACTGTGCTTTAAAGTGTGACAATCTAAATGTATTTTTCCATTTTCCATTTGTTCTGACACAATGAGTATTCACTGATTAAAAAAAATTTAAGTGTGAGGCACACTTAAATCTTGATTACTTTAACTGAGGCAGGTGAGTAGACCCACCCACTGTGGGTGGCTCCATTCCCTGAGCTGAGATCCTGGACTGTTTAAGAGTGGAGAAAGGAGCTGAGCATCAGCGTGCATGCCTTAGTTCACTGCTCTCTGCTCTGGACTGTGGATGTGACCTGACCAGCAGCTTCAAGTTCCTGCAATAATGGACTGTGACTTGGAACTGTGAGACAGACAAATCCTTGCTCCCGTAAGTTGCTCTTGTCAGTATATTTATCACAACAGGAAACAAAACTAAGACAAAAAGTGTCTTGATTTATGAGTTTTCTTTGTTCTGTTACTAAAATTTCATGAAACTGTTACCCATGTAACATGGAATTTTAGGGTAACCTAAATCTGTGTTCCTAGGCTATGGTCACCCACATTTTGCTCCAGAATAAACTACTGCTTATTCCCTTCAGGCAAGAGAGCTGTGCCTTTTATGTTGACATGTCAAAAGCATAGGGCCCAGCGTGGTACTACTGGAAGGTGATGGAACCTTAAAGAAATGGGAGCTAGTGAGAGAATTGTCACTGAGGTACTCCCTTGAAGAAGATTCTAAGACATTTACTGTTCTTTCCCTTTGGATTCCCAGCCATTGGGTGAATGAGATTCTTCTCCCAAGCAATCCTGCTATGTACTCTGCTATCACAGGCCCAAAGCAACAGGACCAATCAGTCAGGAACTGAAATATTGAAAACTTTGCCCCTTCTAGTCAATACCTTTGTAAGCATCACTCTGACTTCTGATACCATCTATGACTGTTGATCAGTAATAACAATATTAAATATATAATAAGCATTTTTAAGCTTTTATTTTTTTGAGTCAGGATCTCATTGTGGAGTCCAGGCTAGCCTCGAACTCCTGATGCTTCTGCTTCCACCTGATAGCTGAGATCACAAGCATGTGCCACCACACAAAAGAAAATCTGTTTATTTGAGGTACAATTTAAATTCATGAATTTTAATACATAAGT